GTATGGGGTATCATTGGATTCAGAAAATTGTGTAGATTTCAAAAATGTAATAATATACAGGGTGTTCTATTTGAAAATTAAACGTTGATAAGATTTCCGGAAAACCCGGTAGTTGAAAAAAATCTCACATTATCTCAGAAAGTGCCTCTTTGTAAGCATAATCAATATTAATAGTTCCGTGAAAATAGGTGGAAGAATGAAGAAAAAAGGGGGTGTACCATAAGTCTGTGTCACACGGTATACCACAGTGGAATAAATATTGAGACATGGTGCTACTTGACATCAAAACGGGCAAACCTTTCAAAACAACGTAATATAAACACAATTTTAATCCACACTACTCGTCTGAAGTAGATTCTATTTCTAACAATAATCATTACTACATGATCTGTCCTATATTTCACTTCACCAGGATTTGAATGTAGCCTTGATAACATATCTATCGTAATGGAATCAAAGTTCAAGTAGGGTTCGGAAGTTTGAAGTCAGTTGAAATCCAGCCGTTGATATGTTGTTGGAAATATGTTTTGGGGTGGCGATTGCATGCATAATTACTTTGAGTTTTTCAAATTATGTTGTGGATTGTATCAGATTTTCAAGGCTTTTAAGTAAGCTGCCAGGACCGAAACCACTGCCAGTGATAGGAAACATTTTGGAACTCGCGTGTGAAAGGGGTAAGCGCAGAAATATAGAAAATAACGCGTTTTTTCTTCAGAAAAATGTGTATAGCCAACTTGATGAATTGAAATTGTCGAATTATTGAAAAATAAATGATGGGAAGTCGCCCAAGAATCTTTATGATAATATATTCCATTTGAATTGAGAGAGATATACAGGGCGTTAATTGAGTATGTACCATAAATTTAACAGACGATTTTTTAGGTGACTTTAAGACGAAATGTTCATATGAACATGGGTCCGCAAATCCTTCGTTCTCAAGATACAGGGTAAAGAATATTACTGGAGTTTTTTCCCAACACCAAATCGTTATTTTTAACACCTCGACACGTGTTTCGATCACCAAGTGATCATCTTCAAAGAGGAAGATTAAAACTAGAAACTAATGCAAGCTAACCCTATTTATGATATAAAGGTAACCCATACAGGTAAACCATCCAGGCGTACCAACCATACAGGTATACCAACCTTAATTAATTTTACAATTTTGCCTTATCTATTATTTTACAATA